AAGCCAGAGCATTTTTATTTTTGAATAATGAAAGCAACATTGACTTTTGATTCGATCCTTGTGAAACAAATCCAATCAAGTATGTCTTCTGATCCTCTTATTCACAATATCCAAAATCCTTCTTCTAAGTCCTAAGATACTTTTAAGTTTGAATTCAAAAACAACCTACTCTATTTGGAAGGTTGATTATATGTTCCAAAAGAAGAAGCACAATTACAAGTTCTTCAAGCACGTCACGACTTTCCAACAGCACGATATTTTAGATACAATAAGACTTTGGAGCTTATATTTGGAGATTTTTGGTGGCGACAAATATGAAAGGATGTGAAAGACTTTGTTCAATCATGCGATGTTTGTTCAAGATCAAAAACTCCTTGTCATTGATTTTACGGACTTCTTCAACCATTACCAATTCTAGAACAACCATGGTCTTCTGTTTCTATGGATTTTATCATGGATCTTCTAATCTCACGTTCTTATGACTCTATATTTGTGATAGTAGATAATTTTACCAAAATCACACATTATGTACCATGTATAAAATCTTTCAAAGGTGAAGAAACAATTAAACTCTTCCATGACAACATCTATGGTTATCATAGATTATCCAAGGATATTATATCTGATAGGAGAACTCAATTTGTATTAAGTTTTTAGTAGATTCTTTTTAAGATTCTAAAAGTAGATATAAAACTATCTTCGACATTCCATTCTCAAACTAATGAACAAACGGAGTGTATTAATCAAGTTTTGGAATAGTATTTAAGATGTACTATCAACTACCAATAAGATGATTGGATAATTCTTTCGCCATTGGCAGAGTTTTTTTATAATAATACCGTACATTCTTCTATAAAACAAATACCTTTCTTTGTTAATTATGATTATCATCTACAACTTGATATTTTTGACTTTTCAAAAGCTGATAATCTTGCAACAAAAAATTTGGCAAATCATTTGTCAGAGCTACATGCAACAATGAAGGCACAGTTAAAAGAAGCTTAAGAATAAGAAAAGTTCAATGCGGATGTTTATTGAAAGGAATAACCACCATATCACATGGGTGATAAGATATGGTTACTTTTTCACAATATCAAGACCACTTGTCTTTGTGATAAGTTGGACTATCATAGGCTTGGACCATTTTCTATTTCTACATAAATCAATTCAGTTGCATATCGTTTACATCTACCAAAGTTAATGAAAATCCATCTAGTATTCCACATCTCTCTTCTTGAATCATATAAGACAGTGGGCATATTAAGAAGAAGACAAGCTCCACTTCTTCATATAAAAGTAGACCATAATAAAGAATTTGAAGTAGAAGAAGTCCTAGATTTAAGGCAGCGTCGAAATAAATTATAATATCTTGTCCATTGGCACAGATATGATATTGCTAAACGTACATAGGAATCAATAAAAAATCTTATAAATGTAGGAAAGGCAGTGGAGGATTTTTATCAATGATATCCATCAAAATTAAAATAAAAACCTTCTCTTTGAAAAGAATAAGATCTAGATAAGATAACATTCTACTTTAAATCCTTGTTTGAAGCTTCTTTATAGTTGTGACACTAAAAAGATAGAGAACTAACAACCAGCAGATTTAATTGAAGAGCCTTTATTTGCTGACCTATCGGATGAGACATTGTGATTATCACAACCTTCAAGACGATACAATTGAGATGAAGATTCTCAAAAATAAGATGTTTTTCTTTGAATAGATGGTGACATACAACATATTTGGTATCATGACCTTGGAAGAGACTCCTAATATTTGATAATTTTATTAGAGGTAGGAACAATTCCTAACGGTATTTCAAATATTTTATTTGAAGGAAGTTATGAAGGCCTCAACAATGATCAAATAACAAGGTGGACTTCTTGTCTTGATATGTGACACTATCGATGGTTGAGAGGTTCTATCAGCCATCTTTAAAGAGAACAAAGATCAGAGTATGTGGCAAATATAATTTGTCACATCAGAGATTTCTTCAACATATGATGATTGCTCGTCATGGTACTCGTCCCTAGAAGGGATGGTAATATCATGGACATACACATGTAAGCCAATAATTACTTGTATAAATAGGTAGAAGTAAGTAGAAGTAAATAAAAGTAAGTTAATTCTATAATATCTTCTATAGAAGCTTTCTAAAAGCTTTATAGATGTTACTTTGACTTTATAGGTATCTATAATTGACTTTTTGGATTAGAAAAGTGGTCAAAAAGTTGGCCATGTGCCTTACATATTACTAGCTTGAAGACTAAGCTAACTATGTAGAAAAACTTGCCTTATAAGTCAACGCATGTGTCTTATAAAGTCAACACATATTAGAGGTCCTATACAATATCGCCATGTAGCCTCTAGTTAGATAGTATATATAGAGACAAGAATGAAGCCCTCTTCACTCTTGTCAACTCCTTTCTTGCTTCTAGTTTAGTTTCAAGAGTCTCAAGTTTTCTTGTCTTTTGGCAATTAGTCATTTCAGTTTCTTTTTAATATATGTACTTCCTTATTTCTATTTTGTTATCTTTTCTTTGATATGGATTTCATTGATTTATGCATCATCTTTTAGTTCATGTCTTTGACAAAAAAAAGTTGTAAGAACTTGAAGTTGAATGAGACATTTTTTTGGAAATTGAAATTTGGTGCTTTCTAATTACATGGTTTTTATTGTGACTGAATGTCATTCTTTTCTAATTTAAATAATTTTAGAATTTATGTCACACTTTATATCTTAAAACTACCAAACTTGTTTGAGTAATTTTTTGCTTTGTAATTAAACTTTTTATAATATGAATACAAATTTTCTTTATAATTCATATCTCTCTCTATTTGTATTAGTTGTTCAAATTGAATTGCATCAATCTATATAGGTTTAGAGCTTGTTGAATATTTTTTTTGATATTCTTAAAGAAATAGCATTAAAATTATAATAGTTATTATTAAAAATCTAATTTTTTTCTTATTGTAATTTAAATACTCAATTATTGTAAGTAATAGATTGAGATATGAGTTTTTTTAAACTATCAATCTAAGACATTTTATTTAATAAATATTTTATATTTTTTCTTAAACCATATTAAAATTGAGTCATAAATGCCTTATCATTTTAATCAATGTTATATAAAAAAAATTAAAATTTTGCAATATAAATTGTACTTGAATACAATCTTTGTTGCAAATTTTGTAATTTCTTTTCTACAACTCTTTTTCAATCACTATCTCTAAATACAATAGAAAATCTTTCTATAAAAGCCTCTAAATTATATAATATTAGAAAATTATTTTATAAATAGTAGAAAAAATCATAAATAAAGACTTTCTAATTAAAAAATTATCTATAAAAGTAATTTTAATAAACTTATCTAAATAAGAAGAAGGATAAGAGCATAAGCAAAACCATACTTATTACACAAAGTTGCAAAAATTTGATCTTATTTCATCAAATTTATTTGGTATGCTAGTATTTTTTTTTGTAGTAATTCTTAAATAATCTATAAAAATTATATTTAATATATATATATAGTACTTTTTTTTTAATCAAAAAAAATCTTATTTTAAATTATAGATTTATTGTCTAGCTTTTTTAAACCTTAAATTATTATAATACTCTTTACTTGGATTACAAAGAAATAAAATCTTCTTTCTTAAACTATCTTCAAGAAAACAAAGTTCTAAAAGGATTGCTATCCAATTTTCTACATATGAAGATATATTACTTATGATTTGATCTACTTCAATATTTATAAAATAAATAGATGGAATTCTAAGATATAAAAAAAATGATTTGACAAAATAATAGTACTATTTATAACTAAATCAAATTTAGAAAAAGAAATAATATTAAAAAATATAAATTTATAATAGGATAATATGTAGCTTCTAAGGTGCTTCAATGCTTTCAAGAAGAAGAATAGTCCATATTCTATAAAGAAGGACAAGCTTCATAATTGATATTAGAAATTTCAAAAATTATTATAGATTATTTTAAAGGACTTATGTAAGATAATAATAAAATAATGGAATACATGATTCTTATCTCAAAACAACACTATTTAAGAACAAGAAGAAGACTTGAAGGTCCAAACTAGACTACAAAATATGTGTTGACAAGACTAAAGAACACTTCTTTAATACATAAATTATAAAATTAGAAAGCTTCAAACTAACTTCTTTTAGAAGGCTTAGCTCCTATTTCATCATAGGATGTTTTGTGAGCAACTCCTTTATTGCTTTGATATGAAGAAACCTTAAGAACCTTCTCTTATCACTTTCTATATTACTTAGAAGTTAAATAATCTAGAGAATCTCTTCTAACAACCTCTATGAAACTTCTACAACCTTTTAAGATCTTTTAAATCCTTTTAAGAACTTCTAAGAAGTTGCAAAATCCTCTAGAACCTATTTCAAATAGATATCCAAGTCTCATTTAGGAATCCAAGTTAATTTGGAAATGATTTTTCTACCTAGGATTAGAATACTTGAATTAGGTCAAATTAGGATATGATATAAATCAAAATAAGTAATTTTTCATAATTAATTAGAAGTAGCATGAGTATAAAAATTAAGATTGTATGTAAGATAATTCAAAACTATGATTGATATAAAATCCTTCTTAATATAGGTTCTACTCACAATTCAAAGATTTTAGCAAAACAAATAGTATAGACTTAATGTTGCAAGTTGGCATTTGATATAAAAGAGCATTATCAAACAATGTTTAAAAGTAGTCACTAAATATAAACCAAACATGTAATCAAGTTTGGTTGAATTTCAAAGTATCTTACTACAAACTAACATATATCTAATGTACTAAAGTCTAAATTAAAGATTTAATGTGAAGAGGTTTAAGAATCTATATTGTAAATATTAAGTTTTTAAATTAATGTCAGTGACATACATATTAACATTAGTATTTACTTAGATAAAAAGAATGACATAGAAGTAGATAAATTTAATAATACCTTGTAGAAAATTTTTATAGATGGAGATATGATTTCTTAAGTATTTATAAGTGTTTGATAAGTTGATAACTTGGTTAACAAATTGGCCACATCTTGCATATGTTGGCCACTTGATGTATAAGTTGTCTATGTGGTACATATGTTGGAAACTTGTTTATAAGTTAGACACATATTTTGCAAGTTAGACATGTGTTAAATAACTTATCAAATGTTGCCATGTAATTCATTAATTAAATAATATATATATACATAGAGACAAGAATAAAGTCTTCTTTACTTTTATTAATTCTTTTCTTGCTTCTAGTCTAATTTCTAGAATCTATAGATTTTTTTTGTTTTTGGCAATTGTTATTCTAGTTTCTTCTTCAATATACATTCTTTTCCATGTTTTTTAATGCCATCCTTCTTTAAGATACAAGAAGTTTTAAATCTTTTGATGTTTTGATCAGTTGAAGTTGAGAAACCTCACTAGGGCACTTTGTACCTACAAAAAATTAATCAGAGCGCCTAAATCGATGATTCAGTCGTGAAGCTGCGATGGAATCGAGAGTATGCGGAACTGATTCAGTAGAAAACTCTGATTTCTACAGTTTAGTCTACACGAAGGGAGTCCCCGTATCGGTGAAGAGGGAGGTGAGGCACGATCGTAGCAGATAATGCCATCAACAGCGTGATCTACACACGCAGACATGAGCAAACACACAACTTGAGAGTGGCGGAGAAGGGAATATACTATGGCACAGTGGCACTTTTTGGTTTAGCTGGACGATGGATTAGATCCGGAGTTCACCAGCAGTGGGAGGGACAAGACGTCCCAAATTGGCCAAAGGGCAACAGAGAACCTGTTGTTGGATAAGGATGGATAGGTCAGTTCCTACATTGGAACCTATTGATGAGAGTGAAAACTTCCCAAGCGAGTTGCAAGGACAAAAAAATATGAATCATGCTCAACAGTGGCATCGTTTCTGCCTAGGCAGGTTATCAACGAAGTGCTTACAGCAAGAGTGATGTCAATCCGACTAGGGTGGCGGTCGGGATTGCGGTAGGTGCGATAAGCTCCCATTTATCTTCACATTTGAGGATGTGACGAAACCAAACTGCCAAGTAGGTGGAGATCGCCGCACCGATTGCAAGACTTGCAAAACCCAGTAGAAACGGAATTCTGCAGACCTTCAAACTAGCTTTGTCACACTCAAGCTCCCGTATAGAAAAGATATTTTCCAAGTTAAAGGGTAATAGAAGTCTTACCTGCGGACGCGGGTGTCGAAGAACAAGACATGACAGAGATGGTGACGAGAGTCGCCGTAGTAAATGGCAAAGACGGCAGCGAATTGCCATAACAAGTTTTCGATGGTGCGGGACCATGAAAGAGGTTCAGAACCAGGGGAAGTGGCGGCGGGGAATGACCCGACCCCGAGCTCCACTTCTGAGTCTGGCGGAAAGCTGTAGCGTTGCCTCACATTGGCCATCAATCGTTCCCTTCCTTCACTGAACATCACCCAATGCTCAGAACTAGGTACAGATTCTAGTTCGCTGTCCTCGAACTACCTGTGTCCGAATCTGCAGACGATTGCGAAACTCTCCTGATTAGGACCTACAGATTCAAAAGCCCATTCGGATCTCCCTTTAACACATTGGCGAATCTGAAGGGTAGGCATCTCTGGCTCATGACGCCAACATACCTCAGGTTACTCACCACTTTCAGGGCTTCGACAACGTCGAATGCCGTGTTGGCGAAGGAACGTTTAGAGTTGGGCAGATCTCTGTAACTTCATTAGGTGAGCTTGCTTAGCAGCTTCAGTTCCGGTTAATGGAGGATATGTAAATACATGTAATTGAAAATTTATCTGTTTCGTTAAAGAAGACAACGCTATTCACAGACGATTAAGAGTCAAGAATTGCAGTTAGGCGCTCTCCCTCTAATTCAATCTCGCTACTCCAAAAATAGAGACATAAACGGAATCAGGCAGCCAACGTGAGAAATGATTGTGAATGTTGGGTCAGAATTGTTGGACATCGATCTTGGATGGTTGTGGGCAACCAACCACGAGAGAAGTGCTTGCCACTGTCTTAGAAATATAATCCCTGGTTTCTCAATGGCTGCCCACTAGACTAGGATGAGCTGTTGCATGCAGTGATGACGACCTACAGTGCCTCCAGTACAACACATCAAACTGACACTGGATGCATGCTACCTTTGTCGAAAGCTTCGTGGAAATGGGATGGTTCATTTCAAAGTGTGAGCACATACGATCGATGAACACCTGACATCTCATAACAATAGGATGAAATCGATTATAGTACAATCGCAGTGGTGTGAACACTTATGTACTGGGACGTATTTCCCAGACCCAGCACTCGCAATCCATTTTCCAGATCCAATACAACTATCAGGCCAGTGTCTCCATAACAACTACGGCACTTGATGCCAAACAGGACCCTTAACTCTCAAATTCGCTCGAAAAAGTATGTACACTAGAGTTGCATAATTCGGCCGCAAACATTCAAGGTTTAGTGAAGCAGAGATGTTGGTTAAAAGAAATGCTTTAAATCAGTAGACCTACAACATTACAATTTCCAGGCTAACTAGAACGTTATGCAGTCCCAAACCACACCCAAGCTACTACCTTCGAACGACTTAGAGCTAATATTGTTTTTACCCGCTTGTCATACCTGTGGAAACGTATTTTTATTTCGATTTTAGACAACAACAAACTTCATCGCGAAATTTCGAATGCTGCTTTGCAAAAGATCAGAAAAGAAAAAGACATCAGATACCAAGTAGATCGACTCTTCCTGGATGACTAGGGCCCCTTAAAAAAAATATAATTAGAGTTGGTGAGACAGTTGACAGAAAAAAATACAAGCATCCGTTAGAGCACACGAATTGCTGCCTGCAAATTTGGCAGCTCCTGCAGAGAGGAGCCGCCCTGCAACAAACAGCCTTGACATGTTACAGTTACCTCTTCTGTCTTAGGACTGATGTTTAGGGGTCTATGTTCCATTGAGCAATCGCTAATACTTTCATCCATGCAAGGAACAACTTTTCCAGATCTATCATCATCCAGAAATGCATGGTCTTCATCCATAGGTTCTGAGCACTCACCATCACAATCCATCCATCCGGTATCATCAGTCAGCACTAATTGTTCCTCGTCTCCATCAGAGCCATTGCCCTTGTCATAAATTACAATTCTGGTTTCTTCAATCATTGGCTGATCTTCTAACCGCTTTCTTTTGAAAAAAACTTGGGGTGAACTCTCAGTCTGGGTTTCAAATGTTTTCCTTTTGGAGTCTTGTCCGTTGCAATGATTGCTGACAACAGTCGACAGCTTAAATCTCACGGATCGAGTCTCACGAGTAAACTCAGATTCTCTTCCAGAATGGCCGAGTTCAAATGAGACTGAAGCGTTCTGTTTCAGGTCAATAGGATGAATAGCAGCTTCATTACCATGTGCTGAAGGGACAGATCTTTTGGCACACGGGGTCCACTGCTCAGCTTGTAGCCAAGGTCCTGCAATTGCTAAAGATTCTATTGGGCTTGAACATTCGAAGGCCTTCACACTTGCAACATACTTAGCCATTGACATCTGCAATAGCACCATAACTAAATCAGTTTAGGTCAGCAGCAAGCTAGAACGTGATTTCCAGAACATTGGTGTTCTCTGAACTGCAGCGGTCTACGTAGAAGTTTTAGAGTTGAGTAGTTTATTTGAAATGTAAAACAGTGCAGTCAATTAAATACGACGATTGGTTCACTACGAGTTTCCAAGGAAAATAATGATGTGCGGAGTGATTAGCTAGGAAAAATCGTGAAAACGAGGCTATGACTATATTCAATGGTAATGACCTGTTGCAACTCTCTTGCCTTGATAAAGGCAGTCTCCGACTCCAGTTCTCCAACAGCCTTGCTTTGTGACCTACTATCACAAGTACATAAATCGTGTTACTCGAATACAGACAATCGTGAAAATGCTTCTAAAGCACAATTTTATCAGCTGCAAGAATGTTTTAACACAAGGGAAAAACAAAAACAAAACACTCGGGGCTGGCTCCGAGGTTTAGGAAATGCGTCACTGATATCAAAACTCGTCTGAACTGGATTACTTATGTTAGATTGTGGTCCTGACTGCACCAGCATACAAAGTAAACACTTTACGAAGCATCCTTCTGTGTTTAATAAGGTGGACAGGTATACTGGGATCGAAATCGTTCGCTTCAATACCAGCAGTTGTGAATGATATGCAACCCCATGATTTCCGTACCTGACTGATTCATGACCTACGAAGTTTCTTCCAACTTCCTTCATATTTACATCGACCCCCACGTCTTGAAAGTTCCCCCCGACTGAACATGATGGACTACATCTTTCTAGCACTTTAGCACAGCGGCGAAAAGAGCCTTCGTTGACTAGTGCCGAAATGCGAGAGACAAGCTCAACAAGGCATGCCTTGTCAATTTTGCTGCGCAAACATAAATGTCCAAGCTCCTTCAGAGAGTCTTGTGGGAAATCTGCGTGCATTTGCACATTTGCACTTGTTTCGATAAAATCAGATATACCGGATGGTGACTTCTTTTTCTTCGAAAGAGCAGATGATTGATCAAGCATCCATGTTGCCCATTCCAGCAGGTCCTCTTTGCTCATAAAGGCTACCGTATTCTCTTTTGACTCCATCTTAGAACTTGAATTATGGGACATCGTAGCCAGGGTTTCGATAATGCTTGAGAGCAGAAGAGATGGTAGCTGAGGCATGTGATATGCCAACTGCACGCAGGTATGTCTCCATGCCGCTACAGAGTTGTTTTCGTGTTTCACAGCGGTACCTAAATTATCACAAGAAGATCGGGATTGCAGAACCCCTTCAAAATCACTGCTGTTTCGATATTCGAGGAAGTCATTACTGGGCATACGAGAGCTACAACTGAGACTTAGATCATGAATCAAGAGTCCTTGCTTCACCAACAGAGATGCAAGTTCGGAAGTCCCAGAGGATATAAGCTCCAGTAACTCCCTTAACAAAGATTGTTGTTGCCGTTTCATGCCTGCATGCAGAAACACAAAAAACTGTAAAACAGCTCACAATTGAGATCATTAATATGAGTGGCAAGAGCTGAAAGTCATAAACACGAGTGGTTAGAGACGATAGCAAACGGCGCTGAGCAAAGGTAATCGCATGAAAAGGGAAGCGCAAAGTAAAGGTGTCTGAGGTCTCTACGTTTAAAGTGGCCTCACTCTTGAGGTTCATTCACGACAGCAAGCACCTGAGAAATCGATCTTATTGACAATCATAGCCATTAATTTTATTTGGTCTTATCTTATCTCATTTGTTATTGAAAAGTCAAATCTGCGATTGCCATCCACAATGAGGCTTACCTTTAAGAGCCCGCTTGAGGGTCCATCGTTGCAGATTGTATTCTTGTCCTTTAGGCTCCTTACTCAACAATCGTTGCTGAGTAACCAAAATTTCGTAGATTACTTGAGCATGTTCAATAAGCTTGGTCTTCAGAGAATCTTGGGTATCTGGCAACAGCTGCTCCTGGTCCTCCCAGTAATATTTTTGCAACCATGCTAGAGCCTGAGAGTGATCACAATATGCTAATGCGCATCAGAGAGCGGTGAGAACCTCCGCGGTGGCCAATGTCAGAACAGAAGCCGACATCCGTGGTTGAAAGTCCAGCAGCAACATCCATAATAGAACAACAGTAACGAAGGGGCAAGGAATAAACAACTGCTTGCCTGTTTGCTTGCACGACGCACAAGGGGCAGAGATGGGAGCTCATTATGCGAAGTTTCTGTTCAAAAGCAAATCCGATGACTGAGATTTTCAGGCAGTTTGAAGATTTGAGAACGACTGTGTCTTGGACGGGTACAAGCAAAAGTTAATGATTGCGCATTAGTAGAGTGTATAATCCTTAAAATATGGAACAAGGTGTTTGATGAGAGACATTAACATACAGCTCGAAAGTTTTAACACTTAATAACCCGCACCATGACGAATATCAAGAAAAATACGCGGAAGACGAACTTCTTCAGCTTTACTTGTCCCTGAGGGCGTGATGCGCCTTACAGACTGATCCACCACCCCGTTCACAAATCTGACACCCAACCAATCCGTCTCGGGTTGTCAAATGAGGGCACCCGCAGACTCGACAATCAATGAGCAACTCGACATCCTCATTCCTAATGACCATCAAACAGTGGACGAACGCTACGGCAATCAAGCAACACAAATAATCGACAGAGATGCTCAGCGAATCACGAAATAAAATACACCAAATTTAGGCCATAGTTTGTCGTTTTGAACCTTCTATAATCTTATGAAACAACATGAAATGGTAAAATAAAAATATCATTAAAAATAACTGAGACCGTGTTTAGTGAAACATGTAATACCGCATTACTTGGAAGTGAGGACCGAATTATACTATAATAATCACAATAATAATGCAGCAAACATGCAATAGGGGTGGATGATTTACCGCTGGGTCGTACGCAGTTAGTGTCTACAAATAAAATGACTTGATCTACCCGTGCAATGAAGCCAAATGCTCAGAACTAATTAATGCTACTCATGGACAGAAGCTACTAACCTCACGATCGCCATCGAGTACATCATTCGAAGCATCTCCGCCGGCACAGCTACATTTGGGGGTAAGTCGGTGCTGAATCAACATAATACAACATACCACTGTGAGGATACAAGCCGTTAAAGTAAAAATAGAACCAACACTTCAGCTCTTGAAACGACCGAAAAGAAGCAGGATTCATCTTACTTCATGCGAGAATCGCGCTGTTGAATACTTATGAGTTCCGAGGTTATTTCCACAGCCATCGGCAGGACTCCCCTGCTCTGCCATGCTAAAACCTACAAAATCAGAACACCCGGAGAAGACCTAAAATAAGAGCAGGCTATAATTTCTACTCCAATTGACCAAAATAGCTCGATTCTTCATTCAAAACCAAGTTTACCATCTCATGGCAGAGAAGGTCCCAAGAAATTCCCACGACAACGTTCACGATCGTGTTAATGAAAAGAAATACAACGTCCCCAATCTCTTCCCCGCCATCGCCACACCCACAACGCCAGCTCCAAGTGAGAAGGATTCTAACCCTAAATTTCAACCGAACTATTTCTCCAGCAACGCTACTGCACCACACCTCCCCCCGAACATAAGACATCACTCAACTGCACAACAATCAACAAATTTCCACACAACGTCCATTCTCATTAACACAACCAAGCCACTAAACATCAAGACAAGTTCATCAAACAACCGCGGAAGGATACCAACCGAGCTATAATACAGAATGGGGGGGGGGAGACCCCCACTCACCCGATCCAGAGCTTCAGCAATCCGTGCAGGCGAATTGGAGAAGAAGCAGCTGCGGACATGGCGCCACTGCTGCCAGCTCTCCCATGGCACCAAGTGCGTCATCTCAAATGCTCCAAACCCCACAAGAGATTGATCCACTCCTTCTCGACGCCGTGCAGCATGCTCTGCGATCCCTCCCCTCGGAAAACGGCAAAATTCCCTCAAAATCGTCCCCACAATTGCATTCGCGACCAGGGTCGTGGTGACGACGATCTCCGTGTGCGCGTTGCAAGTTCGGATCCACGAATTGGTCCTATCGAGACTCGAATTCCATTTGTTTTCAGCGGCATTTCGTAGGATGTCGTCGCCGAAGCCAAAGGCCTTCGGACCAGCCTCCCCGTTCCAAAGACTAACACATCTCCTCTTCATCGAATGGATGAATGAACTTCGCTGTTAATTCAGATGTATTTTAGGCAACGGATAGCTTGGCAACGGGCCCCCCCCTGTTCTGTGAATGTTTATCATCCTTTGATCGGTCTGTTTTGGATGATATTCGTTGGCATGTGAACGTTAGAATTGATCCAGCTTTGGGCTTTATCTTTGAGTGCCCACCAAGTTCACTCTTTAAAGATATCTTTCAATATTGTGAAATGCCCATTTCGTATGTCCTGCGTATGAACGTAATAGAAATTTGTAAGAAAATCCAATTTCAGAAAATAATAATGGACAGAATTTGTTAATATGTGCAAATAAAACAATCTAAATTTGTGGAATTTTATTTCATGTGGATGTTTAATTGTTATGATAAAACTTAATTTTTTAATTTTTAATAAGTAATATACACATATTATTTTCATTTTTTTATTAAATTTCAACATCGGATTTAAACTTATGTAAAATAAAAGAAGGAAAAGCATATCATTCATACAATGAACATGAAATGGTAGAATTAAAACGAATTACATACTAACTTGCAAATTGGAGAATTCATAAGAAGAGTGTTATGTAAAAAAGAAATTTTATACAAAAAATAATTAAATAAAATACAATGATTTTAACTGCAACCATAAAATTTTACTTTTTACTTTTAATAAAAATAAATTTAATTAATTCTACTTTTTAATTCTATATTGGTACTATTTTAGTTGGTTTTAAATTCAATGTGTTATTTTTTAGTTAAAAAATTATATAAAAAATATTTACAAAACAATATATAGGTGTGGGTATGTGGAAACTGTGCTATTGGCCACGAAATAGGTATAAAGTTTAATTTGCAGTTGCTAAGTGAAAATTTGACTTCAAGAGAAACCAAGGAAATATATGAGCACTATCTTTCTTACCACATCTAGTGCTCTACAAAAAAAAAAAAAAAAAAAAAAAAAAAAACATGCATATGTATATGTATATATAATGTTTTATCAAATGTGCATAAATGCATGATTTTTTAAGAAAAAAAAAAATGAGGTACATCTCTAAATAGAACCAACTTTAAGATTGACAATTCAAATCACATGTGTTAATGCATTATCTCCACAATAGAGTATTTCATTTTGATTCAATTGATTTTTTTTGTTTTTATCTCTGAAGAAAATCTAAATTATCAAGTATTTCAAACAGCTCTGCAATTAAAATTCTTAGAATGAAATATTGGTTTTATTTTATGGGTACAATACATTAGATACTCAAGTTGCTGAAAATCAACAATTTATTTTCAATGAGTTGTATATTAATTTCAGTGATTTTGTTTTCACATGACTACACGATTTATTCTTATGTATGTATGTGGATGTTTGTAAACACAGCCACACATGAGTAAAAGCAACTACAACAAACAAAAATAAACACATGAATAATGAGAATATACTCAAGATTTGCATTTCAATAAAAGTTCATAATTAAGATGCAGCAAAGTGCTCAAATGGAAATGAAAAAAGCTAACTTTGAATAATTTATGATTGCTTTACTCTTTAAAGGATTATCGAATTTATGAGACAAAAAACGTGCAAAAATCACCAACAGTAAACCTCCAAAACTCTGACACAATTTACGAACCTCCTTCACATGGAACTAAACCAATTCATTTGAAACAGTGAGATTAAAAGACACTCATTGTGTATGCTCCACATTTTGATAATCTACCATTTTAGTATGCTCTACACTTCAAAAACGTAGTACGAAGTAATAATAATAAGAAGAAGAATATAATAAATAAGAATAAAAAAACCCAATCACTGAAGATCAAACTCAGATCACAGATTTATATATTCTTTCAAGATACAACTTATCGGCATCAAGCACGGTCCCTGGATTACCAATTGATCGGACAACGGTGCTCAATCGTGACTTCTGCATACACAACTATGTAAGTTACAGAAACTCAGAATCCTGCAGCCTGCATATAAACCATCTCATTACTATTCTGTGTCTTCAATCAACGTATATATGTCAAAAAAATATCTGATGCTATCTTGCAAAAAAATACATGAATGAGCAGGCAAAGATCAAGGCATGAGCTAGCTCTACACCAGACTGTATCGAACAAAACAATAGAATTGACCGGAAATAATTGCAACTCGCTTAAATTACATGAATGATTGATGCAAAGCTGCTTTGAGAAGACTTCGAGAATGCCTTCGTTGTACACAGGTTTTACACAAGTTTTCTATGCATTACATGCATATAAACTGATTTCTTATCCATAGTTCATTTATGATATTGAACTCTTAGTTTCACCCAAGAAGTGACTCAAATTGCAACACTACAAAGTGGGTTTCATAAAAAAACACTAACATATCTCGATAACCCAAATTCTCACTCACGCCATTAACTCCATTTACAGTACGTGAAATGAATATTTCAAGTGACAACCCGCACCTCCCTACTCTGAACGGATTTGGTGTTGAATTGTTGGTTGGAGAATGATAACATACAAACATCAGAAAAGTCTTATCTGAGCATAATACTTCACATTCGATCTATTTTTGGTACTACGAAAAAGCCAGGAACATTGCACATGACGAAAGGACAAACCTAAGTCAAAAGGACAGTCGAGATGGGTGCGCCAAGGACTCCAGCCACTCGCATGGTCTGCTTCCTCGGCATAGTCTGCTTCCAAGGCGCTGGAAATGTGCATAAGCCGATGCTTTTGTTGATTAGACGCCACACATTTGCGCACAAGGAGGGGTGAAGAGTTGCCGGACGGCGTCGCTCGCATTGATCCAGCTGAAGAGTTGTGAAGTAGAAGCCATGGAGACACCAGCGTGGATGTCGAAGCTGACTTACCAAACGGTGAAAACAAATGGTATTGATCTGCACTTCGTCGAGCAGGGCACTGGGCCAACGGTGCTACTCCTACATGGATTTCCTGAAATTTGGTATGGTTGGCGCTATCAGATCCCTCCGTTGGTAGAGCGTGGATACCATGTCGCGGCAACGGATTTGCGAGGGAATGGCAAGTCCAAGGGCCCATCAGACATCGGGCTCTACACTATATTGCATGTCGTGGGCGACATGATTGGCCTCCTGGACGATCTGAAGGAGGAGCGCGTGTTCGTTGTTGGCCATGACTGGGGTGCCCTCATTGCGTGGGAATTAAGCTTGAAGAACTTGAAGTGAGTAGCTAGAAGAATCACTCACGGTGATCCAGCTGGTGCAAAAGAAAAAGGATCCAGGGATCCAAGCTGTGTCGATTGAGCCTCTCTGCACACTGGGTTACACCATCTCGATTAGTGATTGAAAAGTACTTGGGAACAACAGAATCTCGTAACAATGATTATCCAACTGTATTGCCATTCTCGTGGTTCATGAGCATGTTGAAGGTGTCTGGGGCTGCATCCACACAATGTTCAGGGCCATGTGCGTTGGCCGTTGAAATAAAACAGACAACAAACTCACTTGGGATCACCGTAAGACAACAAAATATGCTTATCATTCAGCTCGTTGATTCACCCATAAGACAATATTCACCAGAAAATATCACTGGTCCACCGTAAGACAACAAAATATGCTTATCATATTTTGCCACACCATCAGCCTGTGCGCTTCGCCGCACCACCAGACGTGCACCTCGCAAAATCCAACGCTCATCGCCCCTCACAGCTCGCTCCTCGCAAGGAGGAGGTTGTGACCCGATTCGTTAGTCTTCTCCCTAAATTATTCACGCATGCTTTCGGTCTTGGGTGTTGCAGTTAATATCTGAGTTAACTTGCGTTTTGGTTCACTTTTTATGAAAGCTTTTTAATGAAAACAATGAGGCATGTGGCCAAACATAGAAGGTTTTTATCTCCTCTTGTTCAACCCTTGTATTTGTCTCCCACTAGTTGTCTTACATAATAGATATCTTAATTACTACATAAAATAACATTTTGAAACTGTTTGTTCTAAAATGTGTATATGTATGTATATATACATATACATACTCTAATTAAAACATATATTTTTTGAGATTAATTCTTCAAAAATTATTTAACACATGTAATTTTATTTTAATTTTAACTATACCACATGTTTGTTTTAATTTTAATCTAAAATCAGAAATCAAAATATTTGAAAATTAAAAGTGATTTAAAAATATAAAAACATAAGATTACAAGGTCAAATATAGAATCAATACAAAGCAAGATCTTCATAAAGTGATAATTATTCAAATCAATCTAATCATTTATTTGAAAATAGTTTCACAAAATAATATAAAAATAAAAAATACTTATTAGTCAAAACATTATTTTTTATTTTAGAGAATTTTTAAACAACTATAATTTAGTATGTATGATTTTATTGGTATGGTTTCATTATTTTTTAAGATCTTAAGTATTACAAAAAATAATTCTTAGGTTTTTTTTTTTATTTTTTTTTATTAAAAGACTTCTTAAAAAAATTTATTTAATTATTTTAGATTTAAAAAATAATAAAAATCTACCATAAATAAATTAGATAAAAAATAATATTTTATATTATCTTTTATATTTTAAAATTATCAAAAAAAAATTATATAACATCTAGATTATTTAAAATTATTTTATAACTAATGCAAATTTATTTAAAATAGGGAGAATATTATTCTTCTTTTTGGAAATACTATTGTACCTTGTATATTAAAGATTATTCTCTTTTAGATTGATAATATTTTTAATTTCTTATAAATATTTTTTTTCTTTTTATTTCTATAGCACATAATAAAGAATTTAATATGGCGGTATTGTATTATGTAAAAATTAGCTTAAGAATGCACATGGCATCTCACTATAGAAGAGTGTGATCTTACTTTAAAGTTGGATTAAATAAATAATTAAATAAATAAATATATAAGATATTTGACATTTTTTCCATAAATCTCTTCAAATACCTTTAATGTTTGATATTATGTAAATATCTTGTATAAAATCTCCATATTCTTCCATGTTAGCTAGAAATCTTTGCTTTCAAAAACTTGATATAAATATTCGTATTTTATATAAATATTCTTTATTTGATTCCAAAAGATACAAAATAAAAAGCCATTTCTTGTTATAATTTTGTCCTATCACCACATATCTATAATTGCACATTATATTTAATATGTATTTTAAATTTTTTATTTCATACTTTATTTATTTATGTTGCCTCATCTAGCAAACACTTTTAAATTTTATAATTGAACTTGAAATCCAAAGACTAAATCTTCAAGTCTAAATAATCTTAAAACTTATATTTAATCTATGTATATATTTGAATAATTTATTTCCAATGTATAATAATAATATAATTTTTATTAATCTTCAATATAATTTCTAAGATTTATATGCATCATATTATTAAGTCATTTCAATGCACCTAGTCTTTCTTTATTCAAAATATAAATAAAAAATACTTTAAATAATACCTAATATCACGACATATTATAATATGCATAAATTTGTTTTTTAATATGTTCTTCACATTTTGAAATTTTATATTTTTATAATATGATCTTCATATTAATTCTATAAAAATATTGATTTCCAATACCTCCATTAATATCTATATATTATATCACAATATCCTACATATCTCTTTTATATATACTTTTTATTAATAAATATATACAATCTATGTAAAAAAATCTTGTATAATCTTATAATACATCCTTAGGTACAAATTAATTACATGACTATTTAAACACCATATTTTCTTCTTAAACAATCAATAAACATCTAAACTACATATATTTATTTTAACATTCTTCTTCAAAATAATAACTAAGATTCTAATAATATTTTTTTATTACTACCAAAATCACATCAAATTAAAGAACTAACAAATCAAAACAAACATATTTTACAAAAAACCATTCTTTTCTATTACAATACTTCTATGTTAGATTTATTAATATATATTAGATTAATTAATACATGTTAAAAAATGTAGAATCATCTTTAGGTAGTTACAAAGTAGTTATGAAGAAGTTACAACTACTTCTCTCTACAAGACAATATAAAAGGCTCTTATGAATATGATGTAATCAAGTTATTTTATTAATATACTTTATGCTTTATATTATTATTAGTATTTTTTCTCTTACATGGTATCACAACACTAATTATCCTTCATTTCTTTTTAATGTAAGTGTAGAATAAGTAGTTATTTTCAAAATGTAGATACCTAGTGTATAGTGTAAACAGGGATAAATAACTGCTGAAAAGGTGGTTCAGGAGGTAGAATGGATGAATAGTCAGGAAAAGTAGTTATTATCTGTAGTATAGGAGTTGGTATCTCAGGGTAGTATAAGGAGGATGGGAGAGGGGAAGAAAATGCCATCGTTGTGATAGTGTGAGCCGGGGTAAGCTTAGTGCTACCTCTTTTCTTTTGTTTGTTATTTTCTTTGAATAAGAGGATTGAGAGTTTCTGAATATTATGAACTGAATTATTGAATGGAAATGTGATTGGTATTATTTGAGAAGAAGAAAGATTGAATGCTGAAATATGATTGTAGTTTAGCAGAGAGAATGAGTCTGTGTTTATGTGAAACACTGTAATATGAATGGTAGTTCGGTGTGAAGAATTCCAATGATTGGAATGAGGGTAATTGTGTGCTGAAAGCTGTGAGGGCACAGTATTACAGTTGGAGATTATGAGGGTGAATATATTGGTGGAAATAGCAGTTATTGATATGACTGAATTGCTGTAAGGAAAAGACCGATAAGGTGAAGGAGGAGATTATAGTTTCCTTGTGTGTTCAGATATTGGAAATAGAGACGATACATTCAACAGTAGCGATTAATTGCGAGACCCTAACAATTGGAGTTCATATACATGGTCATTCCCCATGTTCGAATCCCCCTATATGGGTTTATGCTGGGAGGTTTCTTCCGGAATAAGTAAAACAAGCAATCACATTTTGGTGCCACTGCGAGGAATTGACAATATTATTGAGTGTTAGGAATTAACTGTCAAAGCAGTAAAGGAGATTAGGAAGCAAATTGAGTAGAAATAATGAAAGAGTATGGTTATCAAGAATGAGAATTTAAGAGCAAAGAGAATAAAGCAATCAAAGGAAAGAACAGAGTGATAGCAAGCAAGAAATTTGTTGCGTAATGAGCGAGATTGCAAATTAAAAAAGAAGCATCGACAAAGTTGGATTAAGCCATGGTTGCATGCCTATCGGCATATTCGATTGTACCCAAAAGATGATCGATCTCTAATATTTTAGAAGTACATATCGTTAAAGAAATTGCCAAGAGCACTTGCGAAGAGCACTGCTAATAGTCCAGCAAACCTCTCGAAGCCGTTAACGGAAAACGAGGAAGGCACAGAGGAATTAGGTACCCCACTAGGTATCTTCTCAATTGGAAATATGTTCGATCCTAACAAGATTGGTTTTGAAGATCGATAGAAATCACTTGCCAATAAAGACCAATTCAGAGTATATCAAAACTTGTCGTTTTCACCTCATATTCAACTAGTAAAATTATTTGCATATAATAATAGTCAATCGAGAAGGCCTGGAAGTCTGAAAAAGACTTTTGCGGGAGATAGTTTTATTTTAATAAGAAATTGAGTGGAACACCGGCATCTTTAATGACGTTCGGAGGACCAGCAGTTTCGATTGCAGTTCAAATGGGTGCAGTGGGCGATCGAACGACTAGCGTTATGCCATTACCTACTTTTCGGAGTTTGCCAAGTGTGGATCCAGATCAACATTTGTCTCAATTCTTGATGGCGTGTGTAGCCAATAATGGAAGAACAGAAGACATTTGGCTGAGATGTCTGCCAACGACATTGAAAGATATAGCATTTGAGTGGTATAACCGCCAACTTGTGGGATAATTTATCAATTGGGAGGTATTGAAAAATACATTTTTAGCCCATTTTCGACCAATTGGTTTTGAAGAACGTCTTAGAGAAAAATTAATGAATTACAGAATGGTATCAAGGGAAGCGGTACAATCACATTATGGTCGTGTAGCAGATATACTTCGAAAATGGCCAAATAACCAAATGCCAGAATCATTTGTGTTGTCCATATTGGTTAATGGACTACACCCACCAGAATTGAAAATGTTTGTAAAGGAGGCCCAATCAGCCACCATTGCATCATCTCTTGAGCGAACAAAAGTATGGGAGGAATGTCACTATGACCAGAACTTAACAATTGGAACCACGATGATTCCATCTTAAGGAGGTTATCAAATAACAAATTGGAATGACGCATCGAGAAGTTATCTGCGAAGGAATGATTATGATACAAT